ACTACTGCCACTGAACCAGTGTAAGTAAATGCAATGAGGATAGCTGGATTTTTGCATGGCAGGGGCCAAGTGGGGGCACTTAATTAACAAAGACAAAGTGTGCATAGTTACTGTAATGGGCAGCAGATTCAATGCAGCAGTAAGAATAGTCTGACTCGCAGATACATATGGCATTGATTAGTTGATCATGGTGTCCCTTGAAGAGAAACAGATGGGCAGTCTACTAAATTCTTACTTGATGTATATAAGTGGATGAGTTCTAGATTGAGTGCACAGAAGTCTAACCTGGGTCACCACAATAGTCACAGCCCTTCAATCAATTCCCAGATTTGAGCCAATTTACAGACACAGAACCCTATGAATAAAGAAGGACTCCACTCCACTACCCTGCCAAAAATATATCCTGCTAATTTTCTGCCAGCTTTCCTCAAAGAGATCTATGGCTTTAGAGGTGAATGTGCAGTAAGGAAAATGAAATAATCAAACATTTCAGGGATTACTGTACATTGCTTCTGAACTGGCACTGATTCCAAAAGACTCAAAATGTCACTTCAGTTCACCAGTCAGAGTAACAGTTTATGGCAATCAGGTGATTAATGGAGTTTAGTTCAGGTCTGTCTCACAATGGGTCCTATGGGTCTCTAAACCTATCCTATTGTGGGTAACCCCCCATACAGGCACCAAGGAAAGAGACCTAAGCAGAACCCTGGCACAGTTAGGGCTTGAAGAATATCTCAGTTTATAGTGTTACTACTCAGCTATTTCCTTTTATATAATCCTTTATATAATCATATATTAGTTTATAGAATTAGGGCTTGAAGAATCCCTTTATACAATCCTCTATATATAATCATATAATAGTTGATAGTATGAGTACCTAAAGAATATTTCCCTACATATATATATATATATATATATATAATTATATCTTAGTCCATAATCAAAGGAATGCCTAGAGTGGACACAGTACAGAGCATGAATTAAGGAATAAGCAGCTTATAATCATAGGAATGCCTGGAGCAGACACAGTGCAGAGCGTGATTTAAGGGAAAAACAGTTATACCAGGACAAGAATCCATGGCCCAGGCGGCAGCGTTCAGTATCGTAAAGATACCCGCTGTATGGCAGACTTGGGGCAAGAGCCACTCCTCCTGATAAAGGAGTTGTAGGACCTTGCTCCAGTTCTTGTTGAAGGCTGCCCTCAGATCAGCAATCCACTTTGGTGACTGTCAACTTTATCAGCTCTTGCTACTGTGCTGCTCGAAAAGCATCTTCCCATAGAACTCATTGGAAGCTGCCAGCAGGTGGCGGTAACCCTGACAGCTCTGTCACTCCTATGTGACTTAAAGCATCCCCCCATAAATCTTCTTAGAAGTAGTTTGCCCATAGATAGAAGTATTGCACACTGCACCCTCTTCACTGCGCACGGCTCACCTTCAAGCCTCGGTGACCTAATGGGGGTGGACCCCTTCCTGCACACGGCTCTTGCCTTGATGGGAATGGGCCCCTTGCTGCACACTCTCTACCTCCTAGCCTAGGTGAGCTAATGGGGGTGGACCCCTTGTTTTATTGCTCACCACCCTATCACTATCCTTAAAGATGATTTCACTCACTGCCCTGCCCCCTAACCTATACACAATACTCACGCTTCTGGACATCTGGGGCCTCGCCTGACTTCGCTCATAGGTAGTGTGGCCCCTCGAGCCCAGCTGCATTTTCCTTGTACTTCTGTGTCCTGTCTCTTTATTTCTCGGATCCCGTGCCTCAGCACAGCATAAGGCTCACCCCACGACCCTGTGGGCCTTTAGCCCTACACCTATGGTTATTTCCCCAGTTCCAGAATGCCTAATGAGAAGAAAAATATTCAGCAACTGACAGAATCCTCATACTATTTCCCTGATTTGTGGAGTAGGGACTAATGTGGTAGGAAAACCCAAGTGGAAGACACTAGAACTATCTTTACCTAGGAAAACAGCAAACCAAGAGCAATACCACATTCCTGGAGAGATTGTAAGAGATTAGTAATATCACGAGTGACTTCAAATATGCAGGCATCCCCATTTACCTCACGTGTTTGGCCTATGCAGAAGCCAGATGGGTCTTGGAAGATGGTAGTGGGTCACTATAAACTAAGCCAGGTGATGACTCCAATTGCAGCTGCTGTTCCAGATGTGGTTTCATTGCTTGAGCAAATTAACACATCCCCTGGAACCTAGTATGCAGCTCTTGACCTAAAAACTGCTTTTTTCTCAATAACTGTTAGTAAAGACCACCAGAAGCAATTTGCTTTCAGCTGGCAAGACCAGTAATATACCCGCACCATCCTACCTCAGATGTATTGTATATCAATTTTCCAGCCCTACATCATAGTTTTAGTTTACAGGGATCTTGATCACCTTTCTCTTCCACAAGACAACACGCTAGTTTATTGCACTGATGCTAATTGGACCTAGTGAACAAGAAGCAGCAACTATTCTATACTTCAATGCTCCTCTAAGTATCCACTGGCTCAATGACTTTCATGCTGTTTTGTAAGTAACAGGCTCTTCCGAAAACACTTCCGTGCTTGGTCCATGTCGTGTGATGTAGGAACCAACCTGCCATCACTTATCATCACAACAGGGCTCAATAGAAAAGAAAAATCATGACAGGAATCTGAGGGTAAACAAACAGAAAACCACAGTCTGTCCCTTTGGATCCAACAAGAGAAAGGGATGGTTTAAACTCAAGGTTTTTATGATGCCATGACCCTGAGTGAATGTGTGTATGTGTATGTGCTTGTGTGGAGGGTGTGGAGAGAAGGCCCATTTCGGTACACACATGTCCCCCATAGGTCTTCTGTCCCTCCCCCACCTTCTCCAGATGCTCCTGTTCCTCTCAATGAGACAAGCTTACTTGGGTGGCCCTGGGGGCAGTTACCCCAAAGCCTCAGTACCAAAGTAAGTTCACAATTAACTAAGACCCATCTCTGCAGAGGAGACCAGACTGCTGCCCCTAACCTAATAGCAGCTCACAGTTTCAAGCACTAGCTGTGTCCCAGCAGTGTGATTACCACTGACATACTGCTCTCCCTTTAATCCTCCAAACAACCCCAGAAGGATCTATCACCCTTTCTGCATTTGACCAGTGCAGAAAGTAAAGTCCAGCAAGCAAGAGTCACTTGCCCAAAGTCACACAACTAGAAGTTGAAAGCCCCGCTTTGATCTACCTCCAGAGCTGACGCTATGACAGCGACACTGCCTCCCCGTGGAAACCAAAAGCAATAGCACACTCTTCCCTGCACGGGGAAGAAATCTGGAGGATGCAGAATGTTCCAGAGAAGACTACAAAAAAAAAAAAAAAAAAAAAAAAAAAAAAAAATCACTGGCTCGTGTAAGGTCTACTCAGGGCAATCAAGAAAATCTGAATGAGGAACTAAGACAGCGAGATGTCTCAGTCCTCTGGACTCACCAGACCCAGAACCCTGTGAATAAAGGGGACGCTGGGCCTCCTTGAGAAAGATCACAGATAAAACCTTTCTCTCACTCACCTATTCCCTCCGTTTCACAACCTCTCTCTTTTAAAAGTCATACATATACTTTAAAAGAATCATAGATTTTTCACAGCTCGCAGGTTGCAGCTTCTGCACCCTTCTGTGGACATCCTGAGACAGGATAGTCAGGAACTGCTCCAGCACCAGCAACTCCAGAATGTGCTCCACGGTGTACATCTCAGGCCGAAGTCACCCATGGCAAAACTCTAAGAGCCGCCTGCGGGTGTCCCGGGCACCAGCAGCCTATTGGAAGCAGAAGCCTCAGAATCACAGTTGGGAGGCCTCCAGGCTAGACTCTGAGTCGGGCGGGAGCAACAGGAGTTCCTGGCTCCAGGTGTAGGAACTTCCATAGTTTTCCTCTCATAGAAAGGGAACCCCTTCCACTCGTGGGAGCCCAGGGCAGACACCACCGTCAGGCTCCCAGACCACCTTGGCCACGAAACCAGATGTGACCGCCGGCGAAGGCACCAGGGACCAGGAGGGAGGAATGATGGCTTCAGCAGGAGTCTGGCTTGCCCGGGTTTGAAGTTCCAGGCGGTGAGCCCAACTTTGAACCTGGCGGGGCTGTCTCCAGTGACTTGGCCTCACTGGGCTTGGGACATTCTAGCTCCTGCCCCCGTCTGGCTTCCACCAGGGCCTCCGGGAGGCACAAGAGCAGGCAGCTTTCTCATGTCTGTCTTGGACCCATGCAGGACTAAGCTCCCGGTCCACACGCAGAAAGCCCTAGCACTTAAGTTTGGCGTCCACAGACCAATTTGTCAGCTTAGGATCAATGTTAGGGCTGGGTTTCCAGAGCGACACCACCGCAGCAGGGGGCCATTGGATCAGGTCTCCCCGCAATTCGCAGCTGACCAACCAGAAAAGAAAATTTGGCTACAGAACCGGGACCAGCGAGGGACCAACTGGAAGACAAGAGGCGGGCCCCGCAGGCAAAACTTAAGACCCCAGAAACCTCTGTGGCTTTTGAAGGCAGAGGGGAATGGGCGGGGTCGCCTGATCGAAGCTCAGGTCCTAAAGGTGGGGTAACCAAAAAGCAAATCCAAAGCCACTGTGAACTGCAGGCGGACGACCGGAGTAAAAATCTCCAGGATGGTTTATTAAAATGCGAATCTCTGGGTTCCTGTGAGATTCAGTGCGTCAGGGTAGCGGGTGGAGCCCAGAAATATGACTTTTTAACAAGCTCTCCCTACAAATTCTCCCCACACAGCCAGGTTTAAGAATCACTGACCCGGTCATAACAGATTTAAAGGTGGTCTCCACCCGCTCCAGTTACTCCAAGGCTGAAGGAGGAGAAGCGCTCACTTGGATCACGACCCGGGGTTCGCCCCACCCAACACCCTGGGACTAAGAAGCGCTTAAACAGGAAACGGGAGCCTTTCCAAAACAGCTTGAGGCTGATTGGAAACCAGGAAGAGTCCCAGCCCCTCCCACGTCAGCATCCCTGTAGGCGCACAGCGCGGCGGGCGACGTGTGGCTTGCCGGGAGACGTAGTCCTCAGTGCAGCCCCGCGCCTGCGCCCTGGGCAGTTGCCGGTGAGCTTGGGAGAACCGTGGGCGCTGAGGCGGTGAGTCCCGGAGCGGCCAGAGGGCGTGGCCGTTCCCTGGGGTACGGGTGCGGGCGCGGGTAGCGGGGCACCTTTCCCTGGCCGGTGCCATCCCAACTGGGTGATTCCAGCTGTGTCCCGGGCGGCGGGAGTCGGGAGGACTGGTGGGCGGCGGGCCCCTATCCAGCCAGGGTCTCCTCCGCCACTCCCTGCGACCCGACCGGGCCTTCCCGGGAGTCCTCCCTAGCTGGGAACTCCCCTCCAGGCGGCTGGACTTCGTCGCCCAAGACCAAACAGAGGCCGTTGCCCGAGACGCTAGCATCCGATTTTGTACCAGCTTTTAGACTTTTCAGGGACGTGTCACTCTTGCCGTTCCTCGACTGCTCTCTTCACACACATCGCTTTCCTTATAGGCCCTATGAGGGTGGATTCTCTATGAGAAGGTTTGGAGAGAAATCACTGCTGCCATAGTGAAATGAACGTTTCTCTGGTAAGGGTCCATCAAATGAAACCCGGAGGGTCAGTTCCCTGGTAGACGTGGTGGAAGGTTTTGGGTCAGTCAGGGAAGGGCTGGCCAGCTGTGAGGCTGGAGCGGATTAACGGGTGGGTCCAGATCCAAAAACAGCACAGTTCCTGGATGCCCTCCAGCAACGGTTAGGTGCCTAAACTCTGGGAAATAGAGGCTCCCTAGAAATGACTCCTGACAAGCAATAAATTTTAATTGAGTGCTTCCTCTGTGCCAGGCACGCTGCTAATTGCTTTTCATGCAATTGGATCCATGCTGAACATTTTACGAAGTACATGCTATGATTATCTTCATGTTACAGAGGCACGGGATGTCAGGGTCACACAGCTAGCAGGTTATCATATCTAAATCGATCTGCTAAAGTCAGCCTACCATCATGGTAAAGGGGGATAAGAGGACAGAGTGCTGATTTGGTTTGACTGGGTAGGAAGAGAGTCATGAGTATTTTTTTCCCCTTGAATCCTCTCTAGAGAAGAGGGCAACTACAGCAGCTGTCTCAGCAAATGCAGAGAGAGAGGACCCATGGCACATTGGCAGATAAAGATCTTGAGACCTGTAGAAACATGTGTGTGACTATCTCTGTGACTTCAAAGACTACACTAAGAACACTTTGATGTGTTTAGACCTTTTGATTGCTGGAGAATGTAGATTTTGACCTAATCACCAGTTCCCTCTGGCATTTTCCATGTGACCTTACACAAGTTGCTCGATCTCCCTAAGCCTCAAACCTCAATTCCCTCATCTGTATCCAGGGGATAATACTAGTACCTAGTTCCTAAGCTTGGGTGACTAATTAATTGACTAATCTATGCAGAATGCTTAGAACAGTAACTGGCACATAGCATGAACTTAATAAATATCCTTTTGTTAGGAATGCATAACAAATTCCTAATGGCCTCCCTATTGCAGTGTATTTCTCACATAGGAGATCCTCCTGGAATGCTATGGCGGAGGGGAGTGGGGAAGGAATGGCATGGGGTTGCTGGGGGAATTGCACAGACTCCAGGAGGACAAGAATGAGAGATGGACAATTTGCTGCCTTTGCAAACCATGGCTCTACCTAAGTTCACTTTGATTGAAGGCTTTTAGCGGGTACTTAAAGCTAGATGGACTTTCAAAGATTTGTTGGAAGTATTAGTATTCCTTCTCCATTTCTTTTGAGATCTACATATATTGAGAAACACATGACAGTTGGAATTAAATTGGGATGGGATTAAATGCCAACAGATTTATAAGGGTTCATTTTTTAATAAATTCAGGGTCCTTAGCCTGGGATCATGGAATTCTAAAGCAGAACTTTAGACCTTTAGCAGTGATGTCTATTAAGCATTTGTAATTTAGCTAATATTACTGAGAAACTAAATTTTTGACTAAACTTAAAGTGTCATATGGGGCTGTTGGCTACCGTATTGGACAGCAAGCACAGTTCTACAAGGTCCATAGATGAGCTTTGAGATTTTTATAAACTTTTGAAACTAGATGGAGAATAGTATGTATGTGTATTTTTCTAGGAAGTGAGTCTGATTCATCAGATTCTCAAAACCAAGAGAAATATCATGAACCACTTTAGGTCTTTGGTAAAAAAGAAGTTAATGAAGGTAAGTAAGCCCTCTTGTGACCACTCCTGTTTCTCGTTTCTCATTTTTTTCGGTCCTCAGCTGTAGGTGGCTCCCTCCCACCGCAACAATTTCAGAGAGAAGCAAATCGGAATCTGATAAGTGAGGCTCCAGATAAACTGTAAACTGCTGGAAGTGGGAGATGGCTGTGGCCTTGGGTTGTGCAATCCAGGCATCCTTGAATCAAGGCTCTGTGTTTCAAGAGTATGATACTGACTGTGAAGTCTTCCGTCAGCGCTTCAGGCAGTTCCAGTACAGAGAAGCAGCTGGGCCTCATGAAGCATTTAACAAACTCTGGGAGCTTTGCTGTCAATGGCTGAAGCCAAAGATGCGCTCTAAGGAACAAATCCTGGAGCTGCTAGTGTTGGAGCAATTCCTAACTATCTTGCCCACAGAGATAGAGACCTGGGTGAGGGAGCACTGCCCAGAGAATAGAGAAAGAGTTGTGTCACTCATAGAAGACTTACAGAGAGAACTTGAGATACCAGAGCAGCAGGTAAGAAAAGAATATGGGATCTTTGTGATTGGTCCTCAGGAAATAGCTGAGGCAGCTGAGAGTAGACCACACATTTGTCTCTGTGTCATTCCCCAGCCTCAAGATTTCTCCAGAGTCCTTTTCCTTTTTCTCTTCTGCTGAAGTCAGCAAATGAGTCAGTGCTTTTAACTCTATCAGACTCAATTGCCTTTCTATAACAAATGGTTTATAATGTCCACTTTCCTATGCACAAATGAAATTCATAGACAACATAATCTACCCACATAAATCAACTCAAAACATTAGTAAATTGCTCCATGGCCTGAAGGCCAGTTCTAGCCGTAGTCTGTTTCTCTGTACTCTGTACATAAGCCATAGCCTGTTTCTCTGTACTCTGTACATAATGGTTTTTACCTTGTTAAAAGGTCATTGGAAAAAGAACAGGAAGAAGGAGAAGAACTGACAGTGAATGTGGCCCACAGACCCTAAAATATTTACTATTTGGATAAAGTTTGCCAAACCTGAGTCAAGTCTAGAAGGAATATAAAGGAAAAGAAACATAGTGTGTTATAAACTGATAGGGATTTGTGCACATATATGCCTGGGCCTGACCAAATGTCATGAAGTTATCAGATGCTTACATCTATGCTTAGAATCACTGTGAATGGAACAGCCAGAAATTCAGACTGATACAGCTCAAGTACTACGAACAGTGTTGCTGCTCATCATGTGATTTTCCAAAGTGGCATACGACTCTTGGTAAATCTGAACAATAAGCAGTGTAGTCTTTGCTTTTCACAGTACTGTATTCCTAGAAATTTTTATTTGTGCTGAAACTATGCAAAACAAAGCAAACGATTGTACTTATTTGACCAACAGGGTGGAGTTCTTGACACGATCTTTTTACTCACATGAATGTTTGAGTGGGACATTCCACACTTGGTAGGGACCTGGAACAATTCTGCGTTATACATTATGTTCCATTAAATTCTGATAACTACCACCTGTCAGCATATTCAAAACTCCCCATGGGTGCAGTGGCACTGTCTGCCATTCAGAATGACTGTGCAAAGCCTCTTTTCAGAAGTTCCGTGACTGAGAGAGGGCAGTATCTTTGGGAAAAGGGAGCAGGATCTTCCAGAGGGGCATCAGGGATGTTCCAGTCTTGTCTATGGGGGTTCTCTGCAGGAGCTGTTAGCTTCAGGGCTCCTGAACAGTAGTCTTCTGAGGCTTTCTGTCTCCCTAGGGTACTTGGGTTGGTGGTTACCCTTCCTTTCTCTGTCTCCTTGGTTTTGTTTACTATATAAGATTTTATCTTCATGTGGTCTAGACATTTGCTGCCGAATACAGTCACTTCTAGTCATGTACAGCTCTTGAGCACTTGAAATATGGCCAATGCAAATTGAGATCTGCTGTAAGTATGAAATACACACCACATGCAGAAGACTTGGTATGAAAAAAGTAGGTGAAATATATCACTAATAATTGTTCATATTAATTACATGTTGAAATGCTGATTGTTTGCATTGGATTAATACGTACTATTAAAATTGGCCTTTTTAAAAAATTTATTCATATGGCCAGTAGAAAATTTAAAATTACGTGCATGATTCTCATACAATTCTACCGGGCACTGCTGGTCTAGACTTGAGAGTGATGGTTCTGGCATTTCCTCCAGGTTGATATGCATGACATGCTCTTGGAAGAACTGGCACCAGTGGGAACAGCACACATACCACCAACCATGCACCTAGAGTCACCTGCACTCCAGGTAATGGCACCTGCCCAGGAGGCCCCAGTAGCAGAGGCATGGATTCCACAGGCAGGGCCACAGGAGCTGAACTACGGTGCTGCTGGAGAATGTCAGCCCTTTCTAGACCCTGGTAAGGCAAGGGATTTCTCTCCTTTCTTTTGTTTCTGTTTTGAGAGTTCAGGAACTCTCAAGGGTTGGGGTTGGGTTAGAAATACTAATTACTTAATGGAAATGGACCGCTCAAAGAAGAAGAAGAAATCTCTCTGCGAATAGTAGGTAACAAAGCACTTTGGATAGAATCCTGGGATTAGGAATCCTTTAAGCTAATGACCCTGATAAGGAGTCTTTTGATCAAGAATATTACACAGGAAAACTATGGGAGTTTGGATTCTGGATAAGGAATAATTTCTCAGCCCAATTTTAATCAACAGGAACTGTGATGTTGTGGGCCTCAAGGGCCTCAGTTGCCTTTATGACATCAGAGCCTTATTCAAACTTAATACTTTAGTAATATAGTCTCTTTAGATCCTGTAAGATCAACCGCTTACCACAGTCTAAAGGAAATATCTGCCTCATTAAATAAAAACCTGTTACATATTACAGTGTTTCTCAAACTGTAGTAAGCAGACCATTCACAGCATGAACACCAAGGGTGCATGTTTAGCAAGCTCTGCAGGTGAGTGCTACACGCACTAAAGTTTGAGAACCACTGGCCCGGACACCACAGAGGTTAGTTCTAGAAGGAAAAAGTCCAAGTGGAGAAAGGCAGCAGGATCACGTAATCCGGGTGCTCCTATATTTTATTCCCCACTGAGATGTTCTTACCCAGTGTTCCCTGTACCTCTTCTACCCCTTGCATTAAAGCTTTGGCCCAGCTGTGGCCAGAATCCTCTCCCCCCACTCCTCCAGGCAGTTTTAACATGTTGGCACATTCAAGAGCCTATTAAATACTGAGACCACAGAAGACACATAAAAATGAAAATAAGTTGAGAGTTATCCAAGTTATATATGTCTGATCCATCCATAACTAGCTCAGTGCTCCCTTTCCACATCATGTTACTAGCCTGCTGTTGACTGGAAGCCTTACCAATAACATCAATGGTCCATTAACACATATTTTGTATGTTATATGTGTCATATACTATATTCTTACGGTAAGTAAGCTAGAGAAAAGAAAACATTATCAAGAAAATCATAAGGAAGAGAATATATTTACTATTCATTAAGTGGAAGTGGATCATTATAAAGGTCTTCATCCTCATCGTCTTCACATTGAGTAGGCTAAGGAGGAAGAGGAAGAGGAGAGGTTAATCTTGCTGTCTCAGGGGTGGCAGAGGTGGAAGAAAATCTGCTTGTAAGTGTATTTGTGCAGTTCAAACACATGTTGTTCAATGGTCAACTGTGTATTCTAGATAAAAGTCCCTTATTAGACATATGATCTGCCAATATCTTCTCCCATTTCACTTTCTTGATAGTGTCCTTTGTAATACAAAAGATTTTTTCATTTTGATGAAATCAAATGTAATTGTTTTTTCTTTTGTTGTTTGTGCTTTTGATGTCTTATCTAAGTAACCATTGCCTAATCCAAGGTCACAAAAATTTTCCCCTGTGTTTTCACCTAACAGTTTTATAATTTTAGCTCTTACATCTAAGAGTTTGATCTAATTTTCATTAACTTTTATATAAGTTAATGAGATAGAGATCCAAATAATATTTTTTTTCTCATGTGGACATCTAGGTGTCTCAGCATTATTTGTTGAAAAGGCTATTCCTTTTATATTGAATATCCTTGAAATCCTTTTCAAAATCAGTTGACCACAGGTATATGGTTTTATTGCTGGATTCTCATTTCTATTTTGTTGATCTACATGTCTATTTTTATGGAAGTACTGCACTGTCTTTGTCCATTTGTGTTACTATAAAGGAATAACTGAGGCTGGGTAGTTTGTTAAGTAAAGAGATCTAATTGACTCACAGTTCTGCAGGCTGTACAAGAAGCATAGTGCCTGCATCTGATTCTGGTGAGGGCTTCCGGAAGCTTCCATGCATGGCAGAAGGCGAAGGGGAGCTGGCATGTGCAGGCCGTATAGCGAGAGGAGACGAGAGGAGGGAGGTGCCAGGCTCTTTTTAACAGTCAGTTCTCATGGGAATTAGTATAGCACGTGAGAATTTTATTTCTTACATTCCAACCTAGATACCTTTCATTTCTTTTTGTTTTCTTAGTTGCTCTGCCTAGAACCTCCAGTACAATGTCAAATACAAGTGACCGGAGTGGGCATCGAGTCTTGTTCCTGATCTCAGAGGAACTGTGTTTAGTCTTTCACCATTACTTATGATGTTAGCTGAAGGTCTTTCCTAGATTCTTTTTATCAGGATGAGAAAGTTTCTTTCTATTCCTAATTTGAGTATTTTTATCAGGAAACTGATCAATTTTGTCAAATGTTTTTTTCTCCATTTATTGAGATGATCATGTGATATTTTGTTACTTGTCATTCTATTGTAATGGGGTATTACCTTAATTTTTGAATGCTAAATCAATTTTGCATTCCTGGGATAAACACCACTTGGTTTTGATGCACGATTCTTATTATATGTTGCTAGATTCAGTTTGCTAGTATTTTCTTGAAGATTTTTACATCCATATTCATAGGAGATTTTGATGTGTAGTTTCCTTTTCTGGTCCTGCCTTCATATAGCTTTGTTATCAGGGTAATAACTACCTCATAGAATGAGTTAGGAATCCTTTCCTCCTCTTCTATTTTTTGGAAGTATTTGTGAAGAATTGCTATCTTTTTCTTTTGTCACTTGTGCTTTAGATGTCATATTTAAGAAACCATTGCCTAATCCAAGATCACGAAGATTTATACCTATGCTTCCTTCTAAGAATGTTATGAATTTATCTCTTACATTTAGGTCATTGATGTATTTTGAATGAATTTTTGTTATGTGATATGACATGGGAGATCAACATCGTTCTTGTGCATGTGGCTATTCAGTTGTGCCAGCACCATTTGTTGAGGAGACTATTCTTTCTTGAATGATCTTGGTACTTTTATCGAAAATCAATTCACTGTACGTGTAAAGGCTTATTTCTAGACTCCCAATTCTATTGTATTAACATATATTTGTTTCCTAATGCCAGCAAAGTGATTTGGAAAGTATTCCATTTTCTTCTGTTTTTCAGGAGGAGATTATGTAGACTTGGTTTTGCTTTTTTAAATATTTGACAGAATTCACCAGTGAAGCCATTGGTGCTTTGGCCTTTTGTGGGTGGGTGAGGAGGGGGGTGTGTATTACTAATTAAGTCTCTTTACTTGTTATAGGCCTATTCAGATTTTCTATTTCTTCTTGAGTCATTTTGATTACTGTGTATTTCTAGTAATTTGTCCATTTTAATTTTATTTATCTAACTTATTTTCATACATTTGTTCATAGTATTCCTTTATAATCATTTCTATTTCTCTCTCTCTCTCTCTCTCTCTCTCTCTTTGGCCGGTCATCCAGGCCAGAGTACAGTGGCATGATCTCAGTTCACTGCAACCTCAACCTTAGGTGATCCTCCCACCTCAGCCTCCCAGGTAGCTGAGACTACAGGCATACAGCACCACTCCTGGCTATTTTTTGTGGAAACAAAGTTTTGCCATGTTGCCCAGGCCGATCTTGCACTCCTGGGTTCAAGCAGTCTGCTTACCTTAGCCTTCTGAAGTGCTGGGATTAAAGGCGTGAGCCACTGTACTGATCCCTCCTTTTTATTTCTGTAAGTTTAATAGTAATACCCCCACCTTTGTTTTCGATTGTAGTTATTTGAATTTTCTCTCCTCTTCTCTTGGCCAGTCTCTCAAGGATTATTAACTTTGTTGATGTTTTTAAATAACCAAACTTGATTTCAATGCCTTCCTCTGTTGTTTTACAATTTGCTATTTCATTAAATTCTATTCTAATCTTTGTTGTTTCCTTCTTTCTGGTTGTTTATGGTTTACTTTGCTCCTTTCACAGTACTGTAAGTTGGAAGAATAGGTAATTAGTTTGAGTTTTTCTTCCTTTTTAATATAGGCATTCAGAGTTATAAATTTTCTTCTAAGCAGTATGTTAAATATATCCTTTATATTTTGTATGCAGTATGTTTATTTTCATTTATCCCAAAATATTTCTAATTTCCCTTTTGACATCTTTGACTGATTGGTAACTTAGGAGTGTGTTGTATAATTTTCACATATTTTTGAAGGTTCCAAATTTCTTTGTTATTTATTTCTAATTTCATTCCATTTTTGTAGAAAAATATACCCTATAATTGTGATCTTTTTAAATTTCAGAGCACTTGTGTTATGCTGTAGCATCTTGTCTGTCCTAGAGAACTTTCTATGTGCGCTTGTAAAGAATGTATAGAATGCTGTTGTTGGGTGGATTGTTCTATGAATATCTGTTATGTTTAGTTGGATTATACTATTTTCTACATCTTGTATTGTTGATCTTCTGCCTAGATTTTCTATCTAATAGTGCAAGGAGTTATTGAAGTGTCTCACTACTGTTGTTGAATTATCTAGTTCTTGTACTATTTTTGTCAGGTTTTGTTTTATATATTTCAGTACACAGTAATTAGGTGCACACATGATTGTAATTGTTATATCTTCCTGATGGATTGATATTTTTATCATTATAAAAGATCCTGTATATCTTAGTAACAGGTTTTTTGTTTGTTTGTTTTAATGTCTATTTTGACTGGCTGTCTTGTGGTTGCTACTTGTATGATATATCTTTTTCCATCCCTTTACATTCAATCTGTTTGTATCTTTGAATCTAAAGTGTACCTCTTATACACAGTGTATAGGTGGATCTTTTCTTTTCAATCCAGTCAGACCTTCTGTGCTTTTATATGAAATGATTTAATCTATTTACATTTAATTTTATTTTTGATGTGGTTGGATTTATATCTGCCACTTTGCTTTTTGTTTTCCATATGACTCAAGTCATTTTTGTTCCGCTATCCCTCTTTTACTTCTTTCTTTTTCATTAAGTAAATATTTCTCATGTAATATTTTACTTTAATAATTTTATTATTTTTAAGTTATTTCTTTAGTGGTTTCTCTAGGATTTACCATCTACATCTTATCATTGGTTTTAGAGTTATAC